GGAATGAGGGGAGAGGAGTGCCTCATGGGCCTAAGTTGGTGCTCCACCCCATGCCAACCCTGCAGGACAGACTTAAAGTCAATGGGGACTACAGATTTATCCCTGTGATGAAATTCCTTGTCATCCCACCACTTGCCCTGGCAAACTAGATGAGATCAGACTCCAGGACCTGCACCATTGTTGATTCTGTGAGAGAAAAGCTTGGTGATCTGTACCTTTTTGAGTTCAGCCAGGATCCCTCAGAACAGCTGAGCAACTTCTCACCCAGGGTTCAGGAGGAAAGGAAAAAAGGCAGAGTGTCTCTCTCTCTTCCCTCCTGCAACAGTAACCTGTAGTCAGTTGCAGGAAGGCTGGCACCACTTTTGGACCTAGGCTACCCCAGATTGTGCGTGCACACCCAGCAATTATTGAGTTCACTATCCACAGTCTGCAGGGGCATCCACAGTTATTCAGAGGCAACTGACAGAGGTGGTCTCCATTGCAGCAGCTGCACTCACTTGGCAACAGGATGGGAGGAGATAAATGCCTGCAAAGGGAAGCTCAGCCTGCCGGTTTCTCCTAAGTGCCCAGCACAATTGAGAAGTTGCCAGGGCTGCAGCTGGTGGGTATTGTGCATGCCTGTGACCCAGATATCATCCTAATATCAGACAAAATAGACATTCTATTCAAAGAGACAAAAGAGGGCATTATGTAATGATTAAGGAATTGACTCAACAGGAAGATGTGATTGTAATGAATGTGTAAGCACCCAGTGGCAGAATGCCTGGCTATTTAAAATTAATATTAATGACTCTACAGGGAAACATAGACTCCAGTAATAATTGAGGACATTTTAAGCAATAAAAACAAAAACAAAGACAGGTGTATCACAGATTTCTGGACATACTGTAGGGCAGGCATAATCACAACTTCCTACTATTGGCACAAAAATAAAAAGGTAGGTCGAAGGAATTGAATTGGAAACCCAGAAATTATTTCATGCCATTACGAACAATCTTTGACAAATGAACTAAACAATATATGGATAAATGAGATTCTGTTCATAAATGATATTGGAGAAATTGATTCTACATGTGCAAGCTATGAAAAAAAGACCACTAACTTACACTTTCTACAGTTATCAACTTACAGTGGATAAAGGATCTAAATCTACAACCTGATGCCATCAAATTACTTGAGGAAAAAAAAAGTGTGTAATGCATTGGTTTAGGCAGACTGCTTGCACAGGCAAGTAAACCAAACATAGACATGAAGGCAAGAAGTGTCTCCACTATAAAGCAAACACTCATCAAAATAAAGATGTAACTGACAGAATGGGTGAAAACATTTACAAGTGATGAATCATACAAAAAGATTAATATCCAAGATCCCCCAAAGAGCTCATGAAACTCAACAACAGCAAAACAAACACTCCAGTTGAGAAATGGGCAAGTGACATGTACAGGCATTTTTCAAAGGATTGAATACAAATAACCATCAGACATGAAAATATGTTCAGGATCAATAGCCATCAGGGAATTATCTAAGAGTAACTGTGTTGATTTATATTTTTTCTTTCAAAAAGCAATATGAGCACACTAATTTCAAATTTCTTTATGTGGGGAAGCATACTGTTTTTGCTATGCACTAAAGCTACAAATTCTTCTTTTGATCTGCATCCTCCTTAGAGGATTAGAAATAAAGGTATGTATATATGTATATAAATATATATGTATACATATACATACACACACATATAAAACAAAGGTATATATAGAAACCAAGGTGACATATGTATACTTATGTTTGTAGTGACTGTAGTGAACCATCAGTTGAAAGTATCTGGAATTATTGGAAAAGAACTCACACAAATTGCTTGTATATGAAGTGCTGGTGTCTTTGGCATTGTTTCTATAATACATATAATTTGTATTCACCCTTTTTATAATTTATAGCTTTTTAGGTTATTCTTGATGAATAAAGAAAATTAATAACTTGTTTCATATTACTATGCTCTTGGAGATTTTCTTAAAGTTTGGAGGTTGGCTTTTAGATATTCAATTGAAGTTACTATGATGGTTCTGGAAATTCCGAGAAGCTATCAATTCACTTGAAGACAGTGAATCTGATAATCATAAGGTGAAGAAAAGAGGTGGTGAGTACTTTAAAATTTTTATCACCTTTAAAATATACATGTAACCTCTTAACATCACCTATTTAATTTCATATATGGATACACATATGTATACATTTATACATATTAATATACTCCCTCCCCCCCAACTCACTCATGTGCACGCATTAGAAGAATTACAGTTCAAAAAAAGGTATCTTTCTGTAAATTGCTCTTCAAGGAAAGGCTAAAATTTTAACATTTACAGATACAAATTTTTATAAATAAATTTCATATACTCTAAACATAATTTTCAGCAGGCCAATAATTTTTAATTTGTTGATGTGAAGAAAGTATAACTTTAGGTTGTTAGAATGGCTCACTTGGTTAATCCTCTGCCTGCAGCACCAGCATCCCATATGGGTGCCAGGTTCTAGACTTGGTTGCTCCTCTTCCAATCCAGCTCTCTGCTGTGGCCAGGGAGGGCAGTGGAGGATGGCCCAAGTGCTTGGGCCCCTGCAGCAGCATGGGAGACCAGGAAGAAGCTCCTGGCTCCTGGCTTCGGATCAGCACAGCGCTGGCCATAGCAGCCATTTGGAGAGTGAACCAACGGAAGGAAGACCTTTCTCTGTCTCTCTCACTGTCTATAACTCTACCTGTCAAATAAATTAAAAAAAAAAATTGTGATTAGGTACAAGGACACCTACAGAATTCCTGTGGAGTGTCTCCTTTTCCCAGGAAACAAAGAAAATAATTATTTATATTGCATCATCATCCTAGAGGATAGTCTCAACAGAGAAGTGTGTAGAGGTTGTGAGAAGAGTGGATTATGTAACACCACCTGGAATCTAAACTCAATTTGGAGTTGAGTTTTAGATTACTGGAATAAGGCCAACAGATAGCCATATATCCATAATGACTTCAGTCAATAGATTTGGAAGCAGATAAAGTTAGAATTGTGAAATTGTAGATTATGTGATGATCTTCTGAATTATTTGGATCAATATGAAGCTAAAAACAATATTGGAGGAGAATGCTTGGGATTAGTAAACCCTAATCCATTCTGACTGGTGTCCATGTAAGAAGAAGATATTAAGACACACAAAAAGGACCCCAGAGAGTTGTGTAGGCAAAGGTACAACCAGGTGGGGATATAGCAGAAAGCTATTGTTGTGGCCTGAATGTGTCCCTTAAAAGTTGCATGTTGACACCTAACCCCTAATGTGACAGTATTAGGAGATGGGGCCCTAATTATACCAAAGGATGGCAAGCTTGTGCATGAGATTAGTGCCCTTGTGAATGGGACACCAAAGAGCTCTATCATGGTCTTTCTGGCATATGAAGATGCAGGGGAAGCCAGGTGTTTGCAACAGCACACAGGTCACCACCTGACCACAGTCCAGTCATGCTGACATTATTGATTTTGGACACCCCATCTCCAGAACTGTGGGAAATGTACTTCTGTTGTTTATAAAAGCCTGGTCTGTGTTACTTTGTTGTATCAGTGCCATACCAAGACAGTGGCCATTTGTAAGTCAAGGAGAGAGGACTAAGATGAAATCAGACCAGTCTGTGGCCATGTCACATTCAACATGACTGTTCTTGTCTGGTCTCAGAAGCCAAGCAAAGTTGTGCCTGGTTCGTACTTGGATGGGAGAAAAAGCCAAACCTGAAGACAACTTGTTCTTAGTTTTCAACTTCCAGGACTGTGAAGAATGAGCCCCTTTTGTTTAAGCCACCAGACTGTGGTATTTTGTTATATCAAGTGCAATGAAAATCGGAACTTTCTCCCTCACTAGACTCTGAAGAAATGGTTCAAGGATCATTCAGCCTCACGATTCCTGGCATGTGGTAGGCATTTGGTGGATGTTTATTCAGTAAGTGGATGAGCAAGTTGTTGAGTTGTTTGAACACACAATTTAAACAGAAATTTAAAAATTTTTTTTTTTTAGAATCATGGGAGTGCTAATGAAGAGAAGTGATGATTAAAGATATAATCCTGAATCAGCTAAATAATCCTACAAAGAGTCATTTAATGCTATCATAAAACTGTAATTCTGAACTTGTATATAGGGACTATTAATGGTAAAGAAATGAAATATTTCATAAGTTTTTGAAAAAACAAAATTTTTATGATATTAAAATAATAATTTTATACATATTATCATTATGCTCTAGTACACTGAGCAAGAGGAATATATTCCAAATGAAAATTTAAAAAAATATTTCTCATGAAATATGGTTGTCTAGTACAGGATATCTATCTGAAATGTTATTTCATATATTGGTGAAAATTGTGATTTTGTTGAAAAATGTTATATAGTCTAGTAACTTATAACACAGAAAGTCAAAATCTTCAAATGTTATTAGATTCCCTAAAATTCCCAATAATGTGGAAGGAAAATTTGAAGACTCTCAAACTACAAAATTACACTAAGAAAATTGTCCAAAGAAACCAAAGAAGCAAGTTCTCCTTTCATAGAAGACTTACTTAAAAAATGACAAATCTACTTGAGTTGTTCAGTTTGGAAGGGGCAAAAAGAATTAAAAATAACTGCAAACATTTCAAAGTGAATTCTCACTTACATGTGAATCAATTTTTATATTATTTTTTTACACAAGAAACAACCAACCAAAATAAAATTCCGCATCATATAAGCTTCATATAAGACAATTCAGACAGTATTGTTGCACTGTAACTGAATACAACGGCCATAAGAAAATTTAAAAAAATTAAACTTAAAACAACAAGGGCCATTTTCGCGGATAAAGGCCACCCCTGCGGGCGCCTGGAGAGTGGAGGCGGGCGTTGGACGGGCCTAAGGCTGCAGCAGGACGGCCTTGGCCACCCGGTTATCGGGTCTTTTCCCGGTGTCTCCTCTGCAGAGGGAGCAGCACGTGTGCCGAAGTCCCCGAGACAGCCTCCGCGGAGGAGCAGAAGGAAATGGAAGATAAAGTGACTAGTCCTGAGAAAGCTGAAGAAGAGAAATTAAAAGCAAGGTGTCCTCATCTGGAACAAAAGCCCGGAGGTTCAGATTTCTTAAGAAAACGGTTGCAGAAAGGGGAAAAATACTTTGATTCTGGGGATTACCACATGGCAAAAGCAAAAATGAAAAACAAGCAACTTCCTACTGCAGCCCCGGATAAAACGGAGGTCACTGGTGACCACATTCCCACTCCACAGGACCTTCCTCAACGGAAGCCATCCCTTGTTGCTAGCAAGCTGGCTGGCTGATTAAAAGAGCTGAACTGCATGAATCTTCTAATTTCAATTATTTCTCTTACTATGTTATCTAACCACTTCTTACTTCCTTTCATTCTCTAGGTCGTTCGAGACTGACAGCTTTGCAGGTAGCGGTAGGGTGTGCTGCTATTGTAAGGGAATATACATGTTTAGAGTTTTTGATTAAACAGTGCACTGATAAAGACATGATAGAGCGACGTAATTTACTTGGAAAATAATCGTAGATCTTACCTAACTCCTAGTGTAGGTTCCAACAAGTAACAAGTTTTACAAATTTTTTTTAAAAATTTTTGACAGGCAGAGTGGACAGTGAGAGAGAGAGACAGAGAGAAAGGTCTTCCTTTGCCATTGGTTCACACTCCAATGGCCGCTGCGGCTGGCGCACTGCGGCCAGCGCACCGCGCTGATCCAATGGCAGGAGCTAGGTACTTATCCTGGTCTCCCATGGGGTGCAGGGCCTAAGCACTTGGGCCATCCTCCACTGCACTCCCTGGCCACAGCAGAGAGCTGGCCTGGAAGAGGGGCAACCGGGACAGAATCCGGCGCCCCGACTGGGACTAGAACCCGGTGTACCGGCGCCGCAAGGTGGAGGATTAGCCTAGTGAGCCACAGCACCGGCCAAGTTTTACAATTTTAATGGTTTGGCTTTACGTATTTCATATTAATTATAGCATTATATGTTACTCTTACTTAACATAACCTCTGTTGTATTGATTTTTTTCTGTATTTTCCTTTTGGATTTTGTAAAACAGAAGTTTAAGACCACAAGTTGTAAGAAAAGTTACATAATTCAAACACAACTAGATGGGACTCTGAAAGATTTGTATTTCCGTGTTGACCTGGAATGGCCTTAAACCTATTTTAGCTTTAACAGTAGAATTTTACTTGGGCAATATTTGCCCATTCTGGTCTAACTTATGTGACTCTGGTGCTTAACAGCTGCCGTTGAAGCTACTGTTCTTACTCAGTTCTATGACGGTAGAATACCTTTTGTTGTTGAAGATGTGAATGACATATGCATGTGCATTGACTGTTGAATTCACTTTGTGCCATTTTTGTAAACACAATAGTTTTGCACAACCTTTCACAAATGTCTGTATTAATTTCACATATTAAAAAGTAGTCAATGTGCCAACCAGAAGCACAAAAGTTACTACACGAATCCTGTCATTACAGCTTTTGTATGATAAAAGTTTATAATCTTGGGCTTACAGAACACCAAACTGAAGTCTTTGTTTAATCTGCCATACTTTGGGTATGCTAGAATAAAAGGCTTTCGTACTTGGCCTTCTGTCCACCTCTATTGTCTGGTAATTTTTTTCTTCTTTGATTCAAATGCTATAGGGCTGTTCAATCTGTATGGAAGCGTAAGTGTCCGTATCCTTACTCTAAGAAATTCACTGTGCTGAATGCTGGATTTTATAACTCAATAATGACTTTTGCTGTCTCATTTTTCAGTTGCTAATTAATCACTCTTAGGATATATCCTGTATTATTACTAATAACTGATAATTGTTTAAATATAATGAAACAAATAGTTGAAAACATTGGCCCAAGAACATATGTCAAGAAGAGCTGAATTCTGGTAAATAACTTAAGTAATTATGGTCAATTAAGAGGAAAGGCTTACTGACAGAATATTTTACATGACAAATTTATTCATATTAAAAATACATAGATATTCTGTCCATGTCACTGTAGTAAGATGTCAATTGGTTTTACATACAGCTTATGTATTTAGAAATTCAGTAGACTATTGGAACAGCATTCACCACTCTTAGCTCTTCCCAGGAATTGTAATGCTGTAGAATGATAATGAGGATTGTTAGCATGAGGTTTATACTGGTTTTCTCTTTGTCTTTGACTTGGATTCAGGCATCTTTTCTGGATCTTGGCAACTCCAAAGGCATACTTGCTCTTCTGTAATCCCAAATTACAGTAGATGGTGCCTTGAACACAGCTTCTAAAGGCTGATGACCTTCCTGCTTGACCCATGCCAAAAGGCAGAAAGCAGCAAAATCAGTACTGTGTTCATTGTAATTTTAAAAATCAGTTCTGTATAAATATATTTGTAATGATAACAAGTAGGTTATCCTGCAATATATGTATTTCTAGGATTGACTCAAGAATTCTAAAACATTCCAAACTAGAATTCCTATTATATATCTATATTTTCATTTTGTCACGAGTAGTTACAAATTACCATTAAATTCACAAATGAGACAGGATGAGTCCATGTTATTACTGGCCATGATAGGATTCCTGAAGTTTGCAACAAGTGACATGACATCTGCCTGGGTTTTACTTTGTAAAATGCAATTCTAGTATTTAACCTACCTCAGAACTTGATGAGGCTCTGTAAAATGATAAGTGTCCAATATAAAAATATTGTTGATTGTCTTTTTATTAAATGTAAATTTCCTCATTACAAGCCAACTCACCTTTTGTAAAGTCACAGTGCTTACAAACTCAAGATTTTCCAGTGGGAAAGATCTATCATTAAGGATTTGGATGTATTAGATTTGTATCTAATTGCTGAGCCTCCACTGGTACTTGGGATAGATAGTGTTGCCTCAAAGGTCAGTTTCTTTTAGACATTTTTATAGGCTATTTGATCAAAACTTGAGTGAAGATTCTGACTAGATGAGTTTAATTGCCTATTTCTATGATTTCAAAATTGGAGTTTGAATTTAATCATTGTCCTGTTTAGTATAAATTAATGCTGGAGTACACTGAAGTTGGAGACAAATAGTTTGTGAAAACTAGCTAAAGTCAAATTATTTCATAGACTACTTTTTTTTAGTATAGTTTTGAGAAACATTTCTTTCTTGAAGTTGAACTGGATTGGTTAAGGATTGTTGGTTCTTCATGACTTGGAAGTAGCATATTTACAGTTGACAAACTGCTTGAGGACCTTTTGCTGCCAACCTAAAAATATGTCTTAACTTTATCAAAGAAGGCCTGGTATAATCTCTACTTGCTATTCAACAGTTAAAATTAGTTGCTTTTCTTGATATAACAAAACTGTACCTCTGAATATTTATTGATGCTTTCCACAAAATCAGATGCATGCTTGCTCAGTCCAAGCCAGTGATGTTTTATGGACATTGAGATGTGATATCTACTCAAGTTGCATTCTGAAGTCAGTGTGTGGTGGCCAGAAGCAGGGAGCATTTATGAGAAGAGTACTTGTGATGATAACCAACATATGTTTTTCTGGTGGCCTTTCCTTGTTTCTCCAACATCCAAAACTTTCTTCCACTTGGATTTTCCTCCTTTTACCTCATTTTGTTTCACTCTCCCTTCCACACACTCACTCCCTTTGTATTCCTGAAACCTATTGTTGCTCTCATTAAATGGTGTTTAGGGCTGATAAATTATCAGTCCTTAATACCCTTTCCCATATGCCACAATTGAGGACATTCTAAACCACCATTCAGTTCTGGGTAACAACTAATAGGAGTCTCTGTCCCGACTCTAATTCAGCACACACTGCCGATCTTCACCTGAATCTCTTCCCTGATTCCACACCATATCTGGTAGTCCTGGGGTTCCTGGGGTCAAATCTCTGATTGTTAGTCTAAGAATAAAGCTACTGGTTTGAGTAATGTTTTACTTTCAGCCAGTTGTCATGATAGCCAGTAATGTGTATGTCATTTATCAATGAAATTGCAGTGGGAAGGAAACATATTCTTTTAATATTATGCCCTTACATCTGTTACTGTATCTCCAGCATTTGTGATGCAATAATACACTTCACCTGTATTAAAAAGGCAAAAAGTGAATGCTGATTTTGTTTACACATGTCTATAGAGTTGGCAGTTAATACTGAAATTTTTCAAATAGCCCTTCCAAAACTGTGAGATAAAAAATAAATTGACCTATCTAATGTATATTGAAAAAAAATGAAAACAACAAAAAACTATATGCGTAAAAAGGCATATTTGGAAACAGCAGGTACATAACTGAAGAAGTACTGAATCTACTTAATGTGAAACATGTTAAACATTGAGCTGAGCTGAAGAAAAGACTAATGAACTATATTATTAAGCACAGTAGAGTACATTCAAACAAAGTAAAAAGAGTAAATAAATGAGATTTAAAATATAAATCTACATATACAAAGGTTAGACTGAGAAGGAATTAAACTATCTAGTTGTTTCTCTGGACTAAACAGAAGAAATAAAGGACAGTTTTATGAGAATTTTTATTGTATAAATTTTCAAAATTGATCACAAGATAGAAATCTGTGATTGAGAAGTTTATTGGGTCAAAGGTGCAAATTTAACAAAAAATACTTCAATAATACCTGTACTTTGCAACATCAAAGAGGAAGACTTAAATGAGTGATAAAAGAAGGATGATGACTTACAAAGACAAAAACAGGGTTCACACATTTGATATAGTGTCAGAACAGATATAAATATTAAGACACCATAGAGTAACCGCCTTCAACAAACAAAGGTAAATTTAGATTAATTTCTGAATAAGTAGATCTAGGGATTAGGAACCAAATGTAGTTTCATAGAAAAGCGCTACAAAAAGAAATGGAAATATTTTCTTGCATTAAATTAAGAAAGTACAAGATGAAGAAACTTCAATACATGCAGAACATTGAACTAATAGAGGCAGTGCCCAAGAGAAAAAACAAATATTTAGAGGCTAGGCCATGTGGCATAGTGGGTAAAGCTGCCGGCTGCAGTGCATTTCATATGTGCACCGGTTCAAGTCCTTACTGTTCCACTTCCAATCCAGCTCTCTGCTATGGCCTAGGAAAGCAGTAGAAGAGGGCCCAAGTCCTTGGGCCCCTGCACTCCTGTGGGAGACATAGAAGAAGCTCCTGGCTCCAGCTTTGGATTGGCCCAGCTCAGGCCTTTGCTGCCATTTGGGGAGTGAACCAGAAGATGGGAGACCTCTCTCTCTGTCTCTGATTCTGTTTCTGTCTCTGTCTTCTCTGTAACTCTGCCTCTCAAATATATATATATATATATACATATATATATAAATTTT